AATCCAAAGTACAATGTAACTACTAAATTTAAATTATCAGTTAACTCATATTCGGACTATTTGAAATTATAATACGTAAATTCATAATATTTAACAATTCATAACAACCCTTGAAAATAGATAAGCAGCAATGTAGTCATTACGTTGCTTCGAATTTCGAAACATACTTCAAGATAAATTATGTTACTAAGGGGTACCGATCGTATTATTTTCGCGCCTTTTTATCTGGAATATTACTACTAGGTATTAGGCCTAACGCAAAGTCAGGTAAGTATTGTAGGATTTGTTAGTTGTGGATAGGCTTTACACCTAACCGTTAAACTGCAGGTGAGGTCCACCTCTTTTATCATGATTTGTTGTAATTCGTATTAATGAGTTATATATGATACAGTACTCATTGAAAAAAAAAAAAAAAAGGTATAAACTTTGTATGAAATCACCCAATTTTATCTATGTACTGATACTACTACTACTAGTTATAGCATAGTTATATTTATATACTATACTGTAAATGTAATAGTAATTCTCTGGTTAGTGGGACTAACAATATTGATGGTATTTTTTTGTTAATATTTTTAATTTGTGTGTGTGTGTGACTTACATATGTATTAGAACCCAATAAAATCATGGGTTCAAACAATTTGGTGCATAAATAATTTAGAAAAATGTATTAAAAAGACACTAGGTCTGTTTAAAGTTTAAAAAATATATGCCAGATTCTGTTTTATTGTATAGCAGTTTCTACGTGTAACTTGTCAGTTTAGTGCGAATTAAATATAGTTTATTATAGTGCCTACTTTAAATTTTCAGCGTAGTTTAGAATTTGAAAGTTTTGGAGATAATATCTATGACTGTGATTCTTATATTTATAAGTTTAATATAGTGTTGAACTTTACATTAAAACAGTATAAGAATAATATCCACTGTTCTTTATGTTTACATCTAATTGTGTTGATATTACTTGACAGGATCCTGTGAGGAACTAAGGCTAAAGCACAAAAAATTAGTATACATGAGCTTTTGACACGTTTTCATAAAGAAATAAAATCCATCATTTCTCTTTCTTTGTAATGGTAATATAACTTTTTATAGGATTTAACATAAAAACTTATTTGTAAACGCTTCTTTTTAAATGTTAAGTCACCTTTTTTTTTAACACGTTGCTTGTTATTTTCATGATTAAAAATGTGTAGATTTTGGTGTACCTGCATTTTTAAAAGGCTTTTAATAAAGTGCCACACAGAAGATTAGCTAAGGTGTAGATTGAGAGAAAGGGCAGAGCTATTCAACACAGGCCACATGTTGCCATTTTGCTCTTAAGATATGGCAACTTAAATTGGCCAGTACTTCGTTATTGGAGTGTAGAGTGGCTGGCTGAAAGCAAACTTGTTACTAATGAAAATAGAGTCTAGTCAAATTGGACATTTTTTTATTAGTAGTGTTTCTGAGGGGTCATTGCTTGAGCCTTTGCTACTTAATTTTTTTTTCTTTTATACAATAGGGGTTGAATTAGTAAGATTTGCTGATGATATTAAACTGTTGGGTGTTTCTAGCTCTATTGAGGATGTTAAGGTACAACAGAGTGACTTAGAGATTGATTGGTTAGTTGTATAAATATTTGGCAAATGACTTTAATTATCGTAAGTGAAAGGTAGTGCATTTAGGTTATCATAATTTGGTTACAAATTTAATGTAGATGAGCACCCATTCAATAGTACTTTGGTGTACTTATAGACATTACCCACAAGTCAAAAGAAGTAATTATCTCTACACAACTCACTGGTTGTATGACTGGGCTTTTGGTCTCTTTATCTAAGACAAGATTTTGACGTCTTAGAAAGGATTCGGTGTAGGAGAGGGGTGCTACTGGAATTGTTCTGAGGATGGAGGGTTGTCTTGTGTAGGAAAGGTTTAAAAATGATAAGAGGTGATCTTATTGAAGTTTATAAGGTTATATGTGGGGGGTCATGATTAGTAAGATAAATATCGGAGGTTTCTTTTTACTGCTTCTTGAAGACAGTAATACAAAAGGACACAAGATTAAGGCTGAGCTCCTATTAAGATGGGTTTGTTTTTAAAATGATGAACAACTTATGAAATTCGTTACCATTGATAGTAGTGAAGGCTGGCTCCGTAGGGAGTTTAATAAGAGAATTTATGAATTCCTGAAATTTAAGAGGTTGGGTTTAAATTTGTATTTTTCACATCGTCAATGGATAAAATGGTTCCAGTTTGTCCATATCTCATGTTCATTGCCACACAATCAACACATTTTCTAGCTTGTTAATGGTAACATTAATTCTGTGAGGAAAAAAATTGTCGTATGTATGTATTGAAATAATAAATATATAACATTAAAATCAATGCACAATTAAAATCGTATCAAATTAATGACTCTACATGTTTCAACGTGTCACACGTCATCTTCAGGAGCGAAGTTGGAAGAGATAAATTTCACAGTTTATATTTTCGTAAATATCATGTGACCTGTCTGTAATTTTTTATTTGTGCATAAATATCAGAACAACTCTTGCCACATTATTAGACAGATATTCGCCGGACCCACATCTCTATCTAATAATATATAATTCTTTTAAAACTTCATTATTTCCAGTGATTCTCGAGTATTAGTTGCAGTAATACCTTTAGGTTGAGCTATTTTAACATTATACACAAGTGCCAATATAAAATATGTATGTATTATAAACTAATATTATTAATTTAATAGCATCCCTGCTTCACTAGTAAGTTCATTTAGGATTGATTTTATTTTTTATTTTTTGAAATGAGAAATAGAAAAATTAGGTGTAGTATGTATAATTTGGCAATAAAACGGCTGTAACAGCATGATCTTGCCTGCATCAGTAACTAAGTGTTTTTTGTTGTCTTTGAATAAAAATTACTGAAACAAAACCATTATCTAGTTTTTTTTGCAAAATTTATGTTGGTTATGCAAGTGCCGATTTTGTATTTTATTAGGTTATGGCTGATAAAGAGAAAGCAGAATTCTACAGTAAAGGAAAGGAGTACTGGGAAATGGTTCCTGCTACTATAGATGGAATGTTGGGAGGTTTCTCAGAAATATCCACTATTGATATTCAAGCATCGGCTAGGTTTTTGAATATGTTTCTACAAGTAAGTTGTCTATGTACATGTAATTTACATACAAGCACTCTTTCGAAGTAGGAAACATTGAGGATCACTGCGATTACGATTCAAGTTCTTGAAAATGGTCAAGGGGGATGAGCAAGACTGAAACTTGATTAATCAAAGCTTTGATGAAAAGCTAATTTGTATTTGAAAGTCAATGGATACTAGAGCTGGGGGATGAACTCTATTTATCAGTTACCTATGAGCATCTATTTTGGCATGTAAAAGAATTGGTTAATAGAAATTATTATTAGTGTCGTGAAAATAATCAGTTAGTGTTTCTACTTATTATTGTTTTTGTTTGTTACAACTATCTAATAATTTAAATATTTTCAATGTCCATTATGTTTTTTTGTTGTTAAGTCCAAATCTACAAAATTGGTTATTTGTGCTCTGTCCATCATGGGTATTGATCATATCCTTAAGTCATCCAAACCTGTTACAAGTAGTAGGGCAAATAGCATTTTAGCTTGTATCTATAGAAATATTGAATACAAGTTCAAAGAGGTTATAATTTTGTTTTATAGGTCACTGATTAGGTCAAATTTGAAGTATTGTCTTCAGGTTCCTTACCTTTGGAAGGACATTGAATTGTTGGAAAGGTTTAGAGAAGAGTTACTAAGATAAAACCGAGGATGTAGATATTGTCATATAAGGACAGGTTAAGATCTCTAAAATTGTTTTCTCTTGAAAAAAAAAAATAGAGGGGATCTGATTGAGGTGTCAGTGCATCTATTTTTTTTTTTTTTTTTGTACTTAATGGTGATAATAATAGGACTAAGGAACACAAATATATATTTTGACAGGGTATAAGTCATCTTTAGTTAAGATAGTTTTGTTTTTCTAATAATAGTTGGCCTGTGGAATGGGTTGCTTACAGATATGGTCTTTAGTTGATATATAGAGTGAGCTTGCATTGCTAGCGTACCCTGTTGCAACCAATTAAAAAAACTGCAGCTGACTTAATCAAAATAAATCTTTATTTAACAGTCGCCATTTCAAGCAGATCAACAGCCATGGTCTTTTGATGATGCAGATGAGATGACTGAAATTTGTAATCAAGACGGGGTGGTTGGTGTTTTCAATATGTGAAACAGCATATCTTTCTGGCCATTTGGTGAAAAAGACCATCACAACAGTGATGTATTCATTCCCGATGTTACTCTGTGGCGGAGGACCAAGCATATTGAGTACCAATTCTGGGTACTATGTCCTTTCAAGTTACACTTAAAACACCTATTGTCTTGCGATTTATTTCCTCCATTCTGTGTTATTAGTTGTCATAACCAATACTTTCAATTCTTCTAGACTGTTGTCAGCGGGAGTTGGTGTTTCAATACTACTTAATCTGATGATCGTGTAATTGTATTTATAGATGGTATCTTTAGTTGTTTATCTGCAAATCTAATGTTTTATCACCAACTGGAGATCTTTGTTAAAAAATGTACGTTAATTTTATCTTTATCTGTTATGTTCTATATAAATTGGTCACGTGCCGATGAATCCAGCATTTCACGTACAGCATTCAGGTAAGATGTAGAGAGAGAGAGAAAGGAGGTTACATGCATGGTGTGCAATGAAAGAGTGTCTGAATTAACCTACTTTCTTTTTTGTTGCACCAAGAAAAGTAAAAAAATGTGTACATTTTTACTGTGTTGGATTTGTTGAAAATCAGTGCCATAAATTGGCCAAAAAAAAAGAAAAGCAGAATGGAAATTTAATCTGTAAACTAAATGATGGTGAATATAGCAGGATAAGAAATACAAGTCTTTGCCAAAGAGGATGGGAACAGGAGGTATGCAGTGAAACCCTGTTGAAGGATAGAGAACTATAACCTAATATTGGATAGAACCATACGCAGGACTGAAAGAGCTTGGTGGGATATTTATAGAAAGTATAAAAACATAATAATGGGACTGAAGAATGATATGTATGAACTTAAAAAAGCATCAAATAATGTTGATGAGTTTATAATTACTGTATTAGGATTTATTACATAAAGAAAGGAGTTAAAAAGAGGAAAACATGGAACTGGAGAATAAAATTTTAAATTAAGAGATGTTAAAATATATTAAGCTGGATATTTATGAATTAAGTCAGTATTCAAGGAATCAAGCTTGGAAATAATTGAGGTACCAGAAGAACCAAGAGAAAACGTACATGAAATTGTGCCAAAACAATTGCTAATAACTTTCATATAAGTATCAGTGACAGTGACATACGAGTTGGCGAAAGTGTCAACCGTTAACAGGGTTAGAATTAAACATCCAGTAATAAAATTTAAGTCAAAAGTAGTAGGAGATAACTGGCTGATGGCAAGTAAAAAAGAAAATTATAAGAAGTACTGATGTAGATCCAACATTAAAAGAAAGTAAAATTTACTTGAATGAACATGTAACACCCATGTTAAAAATGTTATATGAAGCAAAACATAAAACAAAGATGGAAAATGTTTATGAAAAAGTCAGAAAGGACCAAAATATGGATATTAAACAATAGATATATAAATATTAAATAAATTTATTGAATGAAATGAAAAATGAATTTCAATATACTCATTAAATGTATGTATACTTAAAAATATTGTTTACTTGTGTGTATGCTAAAGAATATTGTTTACTTGTGTGTGTATGCTAAAGAATATTGTTTACTTGTATGTATGCTAAAGAATATTGTTTACTTGTGTGTATGCTAAAGAATATTGTTTACTTGTGTGTATGCTAAAGAATATTGTTTACTTGTATGTATGCTAAAGAATATTGTTTACTTGTGTGTATGCTAAAGAATATTGTTTACTTGTGTGTATGCTAAAGAATATTGTTTACTTGTGTGTATGCTAAAGAATATTGTTTACTTGTATGTATACTGAAGAATATTGTTTACTTGTGTGTATGCTAAAGAATATTGTTTACTTGTATGTATACTGAAGAATATTGTTTACTTGTGTGTATGCTAAAGAATATTGTTTACTTGTATGTATGCCAGTGAATATTGTTTACTTGTATGTATGCCAGTGAATATTGTTTACTTGTATGTATGCCAATGAATATTGTTTACTTGTATGTATGCCAGTGAATATTGTTTACTTGTATGTATGCCAGTGAATATTGTTTACTTGTATGTATGCCAATGAATATTGTTTACTTGTATGTATGCCAATGAATATTGTTTACTTGTATGTATACCAGTGAATATTGTTTACTTGTATGTATGCCAATGAATATTGTTTACTCATATTCTAATATCTGAATAAGAGCTCTTATTTATCTGATGTTAATTTAGTCATGATATTTTTCTGCAAAAGATTAAAACACTCAAATGAATACTTACATTATGAAGTGGATCTGTAGAAGAACTTGTGAAAAGTTGAGATAACGTCTTTCAGTATTAATCTTTCTAAGTTATATGTGTAAAAGAAAATGAACCTATTTCTCACTTGTTTTCATGTTGTTCACTAATTTGGGGGTCACATTTTACATTATATTGAGTAAGGTTATGTTTTTGCCTGTTACAATGTACGGTATAAAAAACTGACCTGGGTGAAATTACTCATTTTCTGTGTATAATACATAGGAAACTTCAGTGGTAATAGTTGGTATTAATTTCAATGTTAATGGTTCTCTTTGTGTGACTGTATGTTACTTGCGACTCTGTAGCCAACAAAGAAGCTGATAGGGTCGTTATGAACCCCCCCATTGGTAAATTATATGCTATGATACAAACTACTGGATGTGTCTTTTTTTACCTCTTTTGGTATAAATGCAATACCACTGGTTTTTTATGACTAGATTAGGGGTCAGCAACCCAAGTAACAAGAAGAGACATTTTTTTCAAATTTGGTAAATATGCACGGTACTGAGAGCTGCAATGCATGTAACATCTATTTCAATAATTGGACAACGAAAGGGTTAAAGATATGCATGCAGCTCCAGAGCCACAGGTTGCTAACCTTTTGGTTAGATATTGCTTGCGAACATACAGAATGCATCTAAGGCTGTTGCAGAAAAACATCCGTGTAAAGTATGTTAGGTTATTGTAAGTTTCTACAGCAGCATAGATTGATTGTCAAATTTGCAAACCAGTAAACATTAAGGACTGCTTGAAATTTGAAAATAAATGTGTGCAGGAATATAATTCTTAGAGCATTGAGAAGAGGAAACATTAAACTCTCACAATATTGAAAAGTTTAAAGATTATTTTTATTTGTTGTTAGAGACTTCTTGGTTTTTTTTTATTTTTTTTATGTCTGGTACTTTCCACACTTTTTACTTTCTCTGTATAGAATAAAGAAAATCCTGTGGGCCATATAAAAGCTCTAGACTGTGGAGCAGGAATAGGGAGGGTTACAAAACATCTACTACTGAGATACTTTGACAAAGTAGACATTGTGGAACAGAATCAAAACTTTATAGATCAGGCTCGGAAGTACATTGGTGAGCCTGCTGACAGAGTTGAAGAGTTGTACTGTTGTGGTAGGTATTTAGGTATGTTTGAACACTCAGTTTTATTTAAGGATTCATCATGCAGGTCTTAAAACTAACCATTTTAGTCATGCTTGTGAGTTACTTCATTAAAAGTTACGAAAGTGCCAGCCGTACTGTTGAAGAAAAAAATCAAGCAGTTTGTGAGTTTCATGCTCTTAACAAGATATAACTAAACGGATGAACTTCCAGGAAGCATTACATTTTCAATTTTTCTGACTACTATCAAATATCTGTTGTTGTTTTTTTAATTATAATTTATATTTCCACGTTTTACAGAAAATTCTTTTAATTATTTAATCATTCAAATATCCAATTTTTAGATCGATTTTTTCATTATAAATTAATGTTGTATTATAAAAAACTTAAGGGAAAATATTAGAAAAAAATCATGTAAGTTATGTTTCAATGAACTTTCACAATGAAATGGACCAGTATGTTATTTAACACGTAAGGAAAGACATATATTTATATATATATATATATATGTAAAAAATGATATATTTAATCAGAATGGAAAATATTATTACATCATGATATTCCAATACGCAATTTTATCAGACCATTAAAAATATTCAAAAAAACACCATTATTATTTACTTTAGTCATATAACAGTTAATAATTTATGTTATGTGCAATACCATGCAAGTAATCATTCATATTATTTGTTGGTTGAAAGGCATTGACGAGTCTTTTTTAATCTCTCTGCATAGTCACAATATTTTTTTCCGACCAATAGAAGGTCCCTGACCACTCAAAAGTTGATCGATACGTAGCTCATTCAGAATTTGTTCCCTTTTTATTGCAGAAATGAGCTTCCATATATTTGGATGATTTGCAGAAACTTGTTGCAAAAAAGCCACAATGCCATCCTTCTATATAACTGTTAGTGTTTGGCAAGTCTTGCTGCATGTCTTCATGGTAGTTCTGCATCTCAAGCTTAAAAACAAGTGGACAGGCATTGTTTTCTTTGATCAGGACATCCAATCTAAGTATCCTCAATAGAGGATACTTAGATGGGTTAAGCTTTGGGTGGAAAAATGTTTTCATCAGTAAGAGTGTTTAACATCTCTGCAGTGTGGTCTATAGGAATAAATGCATCAGTAAGAGTGTTGAACATCTATGTAGTGTGGTCTATAGGAATAAATACATCAGTAAGAGTGTTGAACATCTATGTAGTGTGGTCTATAGGAATAAATGCATCAGTAAGAGTGTTGAACATCTATGTAGTGTGGTCTATAGGAATAAATACATCAGTAACAGTGTTTAACATCTCTGCAGTATGGTCTATAGGAATAAATACATCAGTAAGAGTGTTTAACATCTCTGTAGTGTGGTCTATAGGAATAAATGCATCAGTAACAGTGTTGAACATCTCTGCAGTGTGGTCTATAGGAATTAATACATCAGTAACAGTGTTGAACATCTCTGTAGTGTGGTCTATAGGAATAAATGCATCAGTAAGAGTGTTGAACATCTCTGCAGTGTGGTCTATAGGAATAAATGCTAGTGCAGAGAACATGCAATTCTGTAAAGTAAAGTCTGCATCTGTGTTGTATCTCCGCTTGAAACCATTTTCACTAATTTTTCCATAAATACACTGACAAAAATGGAAAAAGCACCCACAATTAACTGCACAGGGAAATTCAATGTTAATTGCATTTAACATTGCAAGTTCAAAATCTGTCAGTATAAACACAGGATTTAAGGTAGGTATTAACTCCTTTATCATTTTTATTCAACAACGATGCATAAATTAAAGCTACGGCAGTGCTTCCTTGCAGCCCATGAATTGTACACGATTATCAAAAAATATTTGGAACGGTCTTAAATGTTCCGTCAACATACAAATGATCACAACTTGACAGTAACTGTAGGTTCCTTTTTGTACAGAAAATCAATATTTGATCACCTGTTACACCAGAGTCAGACATTAAAAACTGTTTTCCATTTCCAGTTTTAGTGTACACTTCTGGAAAAAAATTATCTCTTCAATAATTTGGAGTAACTAACCCTAGATTTTGTTTCCCTTGTAATTCTGAATAGTTCCTTTCATACTGTCTACGGATGGCAACTTAGCTGCCACAATATGGGTGATTCCAATGGATACATGTGAGACAATATAATTCAGGGCATCACATGTATTCGATGAATCATTTTGTATGTTGTGCATTACATTCTTAGCTGCTGTACCAGTGGAATCACCAGAATGGTTGTACTCATGACACTCTTGACCAACATTATCACCAATTGTTATTGCACGACCTTTTAATTTTTTTTTTTCAAATTGCTCACATTTCCAATGAACATTTTCCTTCGTTTGTTTGTTTTTAACAAACGAATATCCGTTCAATTATAACTTACATCTGTCTTTCTCATGGCCAACAAAATTTGACATTTTGAGGGAACCAGTTTGCAATAAAATTATAAAACCTTTCTCTATATAGTACACACACAAGTGCACTTTATACAACCACTTCACAAGACTGTTCGTATACAGCGACTAATGCTAAGTTGATGTATTTTGAAACACACTTCTCTGGACGTTTCAGATTATCCAATACTCCTCGGCAGTGATGGCAGAGACTAATATATCAAACAAACAAAAAACTTGGCAGTTATTTTGGTATGAAGTCTTCCGGGGTAAACTTCGGAAGACTACCGGGGGGCTCAGAAACATCAGTTTCTCTTCACCCCACTTGTAATGGAGGTAAGAGATTATACTTTGTGGTTTATGATCTGACTTTCCTTAGTTCTTTGGTGGTATCATTGCATCTTTTATCAACTACCCTATGGCCATCATCAGACGTATTGTCCTTAAAGGTGGCAGGGGATCTAAAAATCCACTGCCTTGACTTTGTTATGGGGGGAAATGGGAGCACCTCTGGAAAACCCACTTACACATCTATTTTTAGTAAAACTGTGCCTTCGTTACAGATATTTTTTTATTTTTGCATTTGAGCGGTACATCAAGGTATTAACAGTTATTATTTGCTTTCAACACTTGGGTATTGTACATTAAATATAAGCATCTCGTTTGTTCTACCACCAGCAACACCACCTTGCTTGGATGCCCTAAGAGACTGATCAACCACAACACTGTCTTTTTCTTCAGAGCACTATTAAGGTTATTCCCATAAAAATTGTACTTGTAATACAAACTATGGTATCTTACATGAAATACCTTACATTTATTGTAATTAAAATCCATTATGTCATTTAGTTGCCCAATTTATCAAATAATCTAAATCCTTTTGTAAAGCATCAGTACCATCCTCACAGATGCAAATCAAAAAGAGAAATGCCCTAATGCTGAACCCAGAGGCACCACATCTGACATTAGTGCAGTTTTACTAAGCTCCATAATTCTATTTATAATGACCCTCTGCTTTCTTCCATTCACCCACTTTTCTATCCAATGAGCCAATTTATCCCACACCCACCTACAAGATACCTTTTGTTGTTGTTGTTTTTATGTGGCACTTCATTAATTGCTTTCTGAAAATCCAGATACACCAAACCCATACTCATACCCTCATCTACATAAGCAGTAACCTCTTCAAAGAATCTCAAAAGATTTGTAAGATAAAGTTTTCTCCCTTGTGAAACAGTGCTTCTATCAGATTTTCTAAAAAATTTCCCACTCCTGATGTAAAAATAATAGGTCTATAATTACTTGGAGAATGTTTTATCAAATCCTTTGAAAGAGGAGTAACATTAGCCAATTTATAGTCTTCTGGTACCTCTCCACCATTCAAGGACTTAATAATAATAATGTAATGATGATGATGATTCATCATCATATATTCAATCTTTAACCACCTTCATAGACTTTGGTAAAATAGCATCTGGATCAGAAGACTTGTCACTCTTTATACGTTTCAGTTTTTTTCTTTAAAAGTTCAGAATTAATGTGGTTATCTTGTTTAATCGTGTTTCCATCCAGCAACTGTTCAGGGAGGAATACTGCTAAAGTCTTAATTAATAAAAATGTAAGAAAAAGTAAAATTTAATTATCCAGCTATTTCGTACTCATCAGAAATGAGCCCTGTCATCCCTCAGATGCTCCACTCCCATCCTAACATTTTGTTTACTCGTAGTCGTACTATAAAAATGATTCATTACGGGTATGTTACCATCCATTACTCGGAGTCGGAGTGCTCAATTACTGTAATTTTTTGTATGGCAACTGGATACTGTCCGTTAACATACGTAGTCTACTTTGTTTTACGATTTTGCCTGAGAAGAGGGATAAAAAAAAGACCTTTTTTTGTATAGACGTTTGGCTTAATCAGTTAATTGAGTAACTTACTGTCTCCCACAATGCAGGATATGCAATTAGCATCTAATGAAGTCATTATGGATTTAATAACGAGAAAGAAGGAAAAGACAAATTATCTAAAATTGTCCTTTATTACAAGTACAAGTACCCTTAACTAGTGTATTTAAAAAAATATTATACAAGTAGAAATAAAATACACTAGTTAAGGGTACTTGTACAAGATTTCTTTAAATACACTAGATAAGGGTACTTGTACAAGATTTCTTTAGATACACTATTAAGGGAAGATTTCTTTAAATACACTAGTTAAGGGTACTTGTACAAGATTTCTTTAAATACACTAGTTAAGGGTACTTGTACAAGATTTCTTTAAATACACTAGTTAAGGGTACTTGTACAAGATTTCTTTGTACAAGTACCCTTAACTAGTGTATTTAAAGAAATCTCTAGTGTTAATGTTTACATTTTCAGCCAATCTTTTTTCATTTATCCTTTTAGATTCATGCATAAAGGATTTTTTTTTCTTTACTAAAAACCTTCTCCCAGTCTCTCTTCATTCATGGCTCGTATATCTGTACACGTGTGGAGACTGTAAGGACTCTTATATTGGCAAAACCGAACACCATCTACTAGTTATAGCAATGAACACATGGGAATTTCCATGAAAACAAAAAAAAATTGAGTAACCTCTGTGCTTCCTCTATACACCAACATAGTGAAGAAACAGGACACGAACTAAACCTATCAAATTTCAGTATCCTTTGTAAGGCCAACACTGATCTGGAATTACTGATTAACGAAACCCTCCACATCAAACAACTTTCACCAACACTGAATAACATGTAGTCTTCGTTTAAATTACACATTTTTTTAAAAATATGTACAATATTTTCGTTTCTTACTCCCTCACTTTCTATGTGTTTTAGTTTTGATTAAATTATTGTTATTGCAGCAATATATATCAGTTATTATGATGTAATTGTTTTAGTTTGCTTTAGATACTGAAGATGGAATCTGTAGAAATCTGAAATGTTTATCTGTGTCCCCTTCTGTTATAAATAAACAATCTTGTTTAACTTAAATATTGTTAACCTGTTTATAACGAATATTCATAAAGGCCAGTACCGGAAAGATAGCTAAAACATAAAGGCCAGTACCGGAAGATGGCTAAAATATGCATCAGTGGTTGTTTAAAATATTATTTAGTATATAATTTTTTTTTAGTAATATCATCATCATTATGGTTTTTAAAAAATTGTTTTGCACAATTGTGTGAAATTTTGTTTTTTATTAAAATAATTGTACAATTAAGTTTTTTTAGTGGTATTTACTGTTCATTTGGCGTTTTAGTGTTGTATAATCACTTTATGTGGACTATAGGTTACTTTTATCATCAACTGTTTATTTTCCTAGTTATTCAAAATTTTACGTACCTCTATAACGTATATAGTTTAAAGTAAGTGAAGAAAAGTTTAGTGGTGTGTGTGTGATGATACGTGTTTCAAAGATTTTGTTCAAAGCAGATATTCTGCAGAAAATACCCTTGTTAAATTTGTCCTGCTGTTACCATATGAAGGTATATATGTGTGCCTCTAGTGGAGTTTTTCAGAACTAGTATAGATTCCAACTTAGTTCGTGATGGTGAGATGAGCCTTAGGGTTAACACATATGTCTGTTAAATTTTAACGTGTTATAAACATCCATTGCATGTAGTAATGTGGACTTATGTTGTATAACCAGTTTTTTATGTATGTAATGTATGACAAGGGGGTAACAAATTTACATGTAGTAATGTGGACTTATGTTGTATAACCAGTTTTTTATCTATGTAATGTATGACAAGGGGGTAACAAATTTATATTTTGGCAGAGAAAGTCAACTTACATTAACTTTTCTAACATAAAGCTAAAACATTACCTCGTGTTCCGAAAACCAACAAAATAGAACCGAGATCCTATTCCATTATTCCATGCACCATTATTCAGGTGTTGCGCCTGCTTTGAGCACTCTAATTTTTTCAAAGTAAACGTGCCAGCCACCCAAGACACTCAATCATGGAATGGTTTGCCTTCAGATGTGGTAGATGCAGTTAATTTAAGGGAAGGAAAGTCTTGATAGATATTTGAATGATCACAACTTGTTTTGAATTTGTTTATGTTTGTTTTCATATGGATGTGACAGATTTAGTGGACTAACAGGTCCCTTCTTGTCCTTAAATGTTATATTAACCACCATATCTCATGGTAACTAGATTTATAATAATTACTTGGCATCATATACCCTCACCAATTTAATATGCATGAAATAAGATCACCTAAGAGCTTCCTGTTTCTAGTGGTGAAAAGCAGAACTACTCGTTTTTGGTTAATGCACGTTAGTCTAGTCAGAACTAGCTAGAACTAGGAATACACAATCCCAAATTAAAGATGAAGAAAAACAGTTGGTTTCAACTTACATACTTCTTACTCAGGAAGTCTGGTTTGTTTTTAACACTTGGAATAGTATGTATAGTATTTAAACTCTAGAGGCGAACTTTAATAGTGGAGATTACATATCACTTCAAAGTGGAACATACAGACTTTCAATTACAGGCTTATAGTTCTTTTGAAATGATGAATATGGGTTGAAAAACAATTCATAAAATATACAGTAAATAAAAAGCACTCCAAAGAAACTAAACCCTGAAGTTGAAAGTTGGTGTATGAATATGAAGCACTGGTTATGTAAAATAGTTTTTGATCACAAAGTCTGCTTTGTTTTATTCTTTATGTAGTGCTTGGTACTCAAGTTTTTGGCTAAACATTTTTTTTGAAGTAGCTAGATAATACATTTGAAGGGAATTGATAGTGTTCATGCGTCATCTTTCTTCATATTTAATGGTGAGAATGGTATCACTAGGGGACACAAGTATAAATTTTGACAGGATACGAATCATCTTCAGCTAAGACAGTTGTATTTTTTCTAAGAGGGTGGTTGGCCTTTGGAATGGGTTGCCTTTAGATGTGGCAGATATAGTTAATTTAAACATTTAAGTGAAAACTCAATAATTATTCGACTGATAAGGGGCAGGCTTTATGTTTTTTTGGTTTAGTTTAATTTAGTGGATAGGACAATCTAGATGGACTAGAAGGTCCCTTGTTGTCTTTTAATATTATGTTAAAATAGTCCATAATCCATTGCTGAATTTTGTACTTTATGAATCAGTCACAAATCAAACCAGGGGTGTGGTCAGTAACTGAGTAATAAATAGAACTATCTCTGTGGAGAAAAATTGTGTATTTTCCTAAGTCGTTTAAAAATCCAACTGTTATGGATTATATTTTTGAAAAATATATTTTTTAAGATATTATTAAATATTGATGTACCTCCTCAGCCAAAATTTCATTACATATATCGTATGTAATATATGATCTATATATCATATATATATTGGTTTATTTTTATGGAAGTGACAGTATATGTATTGTTATTCATTTAATATACTTGCCTTTTTTTTTTTTCCTTTTTTGGTTAAGGTTTGCAGGATTTTACTCCAGTGGTCAGAAAATATGATGTCATTTGGTGCCAGTGGGTTACTGGTCATTTAACTGATACAGATTTTGTCAACTTTCTGTCAAGATGTAAAAAGGGATTGAAGAAGAATGGGTTGATGATAATTAAAGACAATCTGACTTCGTCAGGAGAAGTTGACAATGACAACCAAGACAGTAGTGTAACGCGACCCAGAGAATTGATGGTGAAACTATTTGAAGAGGCTGGTTGTAGTCTTTTAGCAGAAAGAAAGCAGTACAAGTTACCTAAGGGTTTGTATGAAGTGAAAATGTTTGCTATAAGGTAACAATTGGCTGAAGCTTCGTGTGTGATAAAACACCATGTGATGTTCAAACAAACTTGAAATAAATATAATTTTTGTTTTGGAAGTTCTAAAGTCGTGTATAATTTTTTGTACCATGTATCCTCGTTTTGTTTTTATCTTAGTAATAAAAAAAAAAGACTAAGTTTTAATCTAACCTTCTTGTTTTTGCTTTAGTTGTTTTTCAACAGTAAATAAGTTTATTATTCTATATTAAAATCTTTGCGTTTGATATGATGTTTGTTCCTGAAAAGATTTCATCGTTATTGTTTAGTGAAGTGTAAATGTCCGTTTTTTTTTTGGTGTGGTGTATTTGAAGACAGATCAGTTCAGTAACCAGTAATTTCATGAGCTGAGAAGTATTGTTATTTTAGTTTCACAAAACTTGCTAATGTATTCAGAAAAGTTTGGAAATTATTTTAATGTAGACTTAATCTTTCATTTGAAAAGGGTTTCAAGTGATGATACTTACGAGCATTTTTCTTTCTCTCTCTCTCTCTCTCTCTCTTTTTTTAAAGTCCAAAAACAGAGTTTACAGATGCAACACTAATCATCAGTTCTTGGCCTTCAGAATATTACACACAGAAATAAAATAATCAAAGTAGGTTATTTTGAGAACATTCAATCTAGTTATTGGGATAAAACTATAGAGCTAAAACATTAAAAGGATTAGTAATGTAATTGTTTATAAATTTTTATTTGCTGAAGGAGAAGATCAGTAGAAAATCCATATGACATATAACACCTATGCCGGTGAAGTGTGGCCCATAAAACACTGTTATAAGTAGCATTTCAACTGAGACCTTGTGTATTACATGCTCAGCCAACATGATAAACTTTGATATAGTGAAAGTACAGTGGCATTCAACACATAAAGATGTGCTGTTGAAATGTTGTAATATTATACATACTGGAAACCCATACAGACCTAATGAAGAGAGATTTGTTAAAAATTACTGTCAGTCACTATGATGTAATATCACACAAACCATTGTTTTGGAACAGATAAGCTAATTTCTTTTTCATAAGAAAACTAAATGTAACGAGATAAAATGAGCATAAAATACAGAATACACATTCATTGTAATACACATGGCTTGCATTGAAATGATTTAAAATGTAAGTCTTGTGTACAATGAAATGAGATTGGTTATAAAAGAGGCAAGATTAGATTAGTTTCAAAATGAGTAGACTTGTGTCTAAAATAGATAATCAAATTTTGGTGTTTGTATTTCAAGTTGTCATCTTCTGAGTAAATGAATCCATGAATTGCTAATTTCTTAACATGAGTCTATATTAAGAGCCCACTTTTTTCTTTTTAATAGTTAAAGCTTGTTTTCATGATGTCAGAAAAACACGTAGGTTCAAGAAGTCTTGATACAAAATAATAAAAACCCTATAACCCAAGCGCTTTTGAAAGGTGGACCTTTCTTCTTCAGGGGCAAACTGGAAAAGCTTGTTTTGTTAGTGTTGTCTTCATCAATGATTTTACAGCTATTCCAGTAAATTTGGTTCAGGAAGTCTTGATACAAAATAATAAAAACCCTATAACCCAAGTTCTTTTGAAAGGTGGACCTTTCTTCTTCAAGGGCAAACTGGAAAAGCTTGTTTTGTTAGTGTTGTCTTCAT